ATTGTGCTTGTAACTCAACATGTTATCACCCTATTACAGATGAGGGCACTAAGGCTCTGAAGAGATGTGCAAAGAATTCATTTGTGTCTCCATTTCAGTTCTGTTTTTTGGTCAGTGTAAGCCTTCCTTACCTAAGTCTTGGGGTCAGGGTGTTGAGCGAAGGGGCAGAGTGTGGCATATAGCAGACATTCAATCTTAACCACATCTTTCCACGGAAGAAGGGCCTGTAGCTGGTTCAATGGCCCCTATCCAGTGAATACCCCTTGCCCATATGACAGCAAAAAGGCCTTTAACCTTCTAAACCGGAAGAGTCCTGGGTCAGGCACTGTGTCCTCCTGGGAATGAACATCAAGGCCAGTCAGCTAAGGATGCCAACAGAGGGCAGAGCATGGTTAGGGAAAGCTAGAAGATATAACAATATCACTTACACTTGACATCCTTTGAAGATTTTGCCTACACCTATGTGCATTGACAGAGAATTTTCCAATGTCCTGATCTATTTTGCATGCTGTTCCTGTACTACATAATCTAGGACAGTCCAGAAAATCCCTGTCAATAGCACTTACCTTAGTTAACACTCCATTTCTCTGTGGCCCAGCTAAACTGTTTGGTTTTCTTCCAAACTGTTTGGTCTCTGTGTCTCTTGGGTTCTAGCACTGCCAATACATGGTACCTTGTTTTGCTACTTCAGACAAGTCAAAGAGAACAGGGCCTGCCACTGTGGTGGCCGTTGGGGACATAGAGCAACTTATCTCTCAACTGACTTTAAAAGTCAGCCTGGAGACTGTAATCATTGCAATGAAAAAATGAGTGTAAAACTGATGTTCCCTTAAGTAAACTATCACTCAAGTCATAATAAAAACTTTGAAATGTCAGCCTCTCCTGGAATTGCCTAACCATGCACCAGATTTACAGATGCTGTGCCTTTAGCTCAGGCCCTTGGTTTGTATAAATGGTTTCAGGTGGGATGGTGCCTCAGATACACAATTTCTTTTGTGAATGAGCAATTGTATGATTTGCTAAACAATTATGGAGTCCTGGTGTCGGCTAGTATGTCAGTCTGCAAAGTTGTATGAACTGCAAGATCGATGGTTCAAGCTCACCAGCTACTCCTTGGAAACCCTATACTGGATCGCTATGGGTTGGAACTGACTGTAGGGCACGTAAAACAATTCTAGCAACCCTGCTTATCACTGTTTAGTGCCATGGCTTTGGTTCCAACTCAGCAACCCTATATAGAGTTTCTGAGGCTTTAAATCTTTCCAGGAACAGGAAGGCCCTTTTTCTCATGGAGTGGCTGGCAGGCTCAAACTAAGATGACCCTGCTAGGTGGGTGTTATTTATACCTACTTCCCAGATGGTAACAAAATTCTCAAGAAAATAACATTGCAGTACAGCAATCCTACCTGTTAACTCCCTCTGCATTTAGCACCCAAGTTTCCACCTTTCCACCCAAATGTGCTTAAGACCTACTTATTTTGTAAACAGTCACTGAAAACTCTGGAGCACAGATCTACTCTGGTACATGTTGAGTCTGAACTGTCAGGGCCAACTGGTTGTTTGGTTCTTTAACTTGTCAATTACATCAAAACACTTGTACTGAGTTTTTCTTCCCTTGGAGAAAGAAACTTGCCCAAGCACAAGACAATATTGCCCAAAGAAAGCCTAAGTGAAAAGTGTTCCACAAAGCACTAACTACCTAGGTGGTGAAGAATTAACTAGATGTCTTGTATCCCAGTTCCTTATCAGTAAAATGGGCCCAATGAGAACAGCCACAAGGGGGGAAATGTCTGCCTACTCTTTCCTTTCCTTTGATGGGCTGCAAATGAATAAGGAATCAAACACTTCCCCAGCCCTAGTCTGCTAAGAAAATGAAAAATCCTACAGAAGTTTGAATAAAAATCACTCACCAGAAATAGTGCCTGGGTTCAGGCCTGTTCGCATGGAGAACTAGGGTGGTCTCACTCACAGTATAGAATACAGGAACTTCAGATTTAGCAAGGATCATCTCAGGGAAAACTGAAAAAGGGCCAGCTGGCAAGCAGACAGGTCTTATTCAAAGAAACCCACAGGTAAGTTGTGCCTAAAACTGTCGTTCCCCAAACCTCCATTGGAAATAGGTCCCTGAGGTCCCTGGTGACAAGCTTCTCTAGGCTACAGACCCCATGTAGCTTCAGAAATGATATGGGATGCAACTTCTCCCAACCCCTACCTTGCTCCCTCTCCCTTAGTTTCCTGCTGTTCCCAGGTACTCCCCCCACTCCAGAAAGGCTTTGCACAGTGTGCAGAATATACCAATGGCTCAACAGGTAGCTGGGAGTCCTGGTGTGGCACTGTAGGTTCATGCACTGGACTATAAAGCCAGTTTGAACCACAAGGTAGGTAGTTCAAGCTCACAAGCTGCTCCTCGGAAACCCCATATAGGGTCCCTATGGGTCAGAACCTACTTGAAGGCATATAACTAGAGGTAGCCAGTTCCAATCCTGGTCCTCTATCCAGCTCTCTCCACCCCAATTTGGAAAGGTAATGAATCTGACTTAAAAGTGCAATTACACCTTCATGGTAGACCCCAAGCTGTGGGGAGGTGGGGGAGGAATGCAGTAAGGGGGAGAGACCTCGTGGTCCTAAACCACCAACAAAATTATGGTTCCTTTCAAAAGAGAACAAAGGCATTTCTTACTATCAACTTCATTACGTTGTAATTACAACCCTGTATAGGTTTCCAAGGATCAGCTGGTGAGTTTGAACTGCCAACCTTGTGATTCAGTGCTTTATCCCACAGGGCCACACCAGGATTCATTATGGAGGGCAATTAATTCATAAATGTTCTCAAATCTGAGTGGCTGGCAGTGTTATCTCAATCTTCAAATTTCCCTAATGGTCATCCTAAAAAGAGTTATTGGCTTATCAATACAGAAATCAACCTTCACCATGTGTGAATGCTAGGCACTGCCTCTTAATCCTTACCCAACGAGCGAGGGGCTATGACATCCAGAAAGAATGAAAGGAAAAAGTTATGATGCATAAAATAGGTTTCATCCTTGTACCATCTGAGATTAATAGGATTTCATATTTCACAGATGTAATGATTTCATGCAAAATGAAAGGACTTGCTGGTATAGGATTTAATCATGCTTCCCCCTAAGGATGGCAGCCCATATGCTAGATCAAAATGGTTAGTATTCATTGAGGGCCTCCTGTGTACTAGCCCTATAAAATGGGTACCATCATCTCAACTGGAAGACATCTGCATCTGAGGTTTCCATGAGCAGGGAGCAAGAAGGCACTGCAGTGGGCTTGTGCTGGCTGAGGAGTAGAGAGGCAGGTCAGCTTCCTTAGCCCCAAAGTGTGGAACACAGCAGGAAGTTGCTGTCTCCAAAAACAAAAAAACAATCGCCAATGAGTTTGCAAACCCCCCCCCCCCCCAGCAACCAATCCTCAGGAGTTGATTCAAAGTTCATACACCGTCATTGAAACGAAAACCAAACCCACTGCCCTCCGTGTGAATTAGAACTCAGAGACCTTGCAGGGTAGACTAGGCTACAAATCTCTATAGAATCAGACTGCATCTCTCTGAGATTTACTGGAGAAAGGTAGATACAAATCAGTGAGGTTTTTCGGTTAGTCGTCTCACTTTAACCACTGCGCTACCAGAACTGCTCACAGACCTTAATTCATATGCCTCTCAGCCTTGATGTAGGGAAGGGGAGTAGCGAAGGCGTCCAGGGAGTCTGTCTCCCAGCACTAAGAAGGCAAAGCAGGCTTGAAGCACAGACCTCTTAGGCTGGCCCTGAACTCCTGAAGCTCGTAGCTCTTCCCTGCCACAGGTATGTGGTTCCAGAAAGAAAGTTTTAAGCCCAGCGGTAGATGTCCCGCTAACATGCTGTTTTCCTCTACTTTACACTTGTTTCTCCTCTGTAAGAAGGGCTCACCAGCTCACTACCCTGTCCAAACACCGGCACAGAATCATGTTTTCAGGTTTTAGCGGGTCGTGCTATTAGTTTCGAAGCTTCAGTTCACTTTTGAGAAGGGCTAGCCTCATCCCGGAAGAGAGGTAGAATGGAAGGAAGGTGAGGCCCCCAAGGCAGGAGGCATGTCTCCAGCAGGGAAGCGACACCCCCCCACCCCCGCCCCAGGCCAGGTGTGCAAGGGCAGGACAACCGCTTCCCGAGAGTGTGTGCAGGGAACCCCCCGCACCTTGGTCCTTCCAGTCTCTGGCAGGGACCCTCTGGAACCCGCCACTCTGGTTCAAGCCTTCCCTTTCCACAAGCGCACTCCCCTGACCACCTGCTCGCTCGCACTCACAGTTACTAGTTGGATTTCTAACCCTGAGAGAAGGAAAAGGTCCCTCATCTGTACTCCTGAATCCAAGTCAATTGAGATGTACAACCACCTTCCCTATAACCCCACTTCCCAATAGTCTCCCCCTAAAATAGAAGCCACGTAAGGGCAACCGCCTCACAGAACATCCCTGCCCCCCCCCAAAAAAAAAGGAAATTAAATCCCTTTTATCTACACCTATGTCCAGCCCTGGAAGGCCTCCCCATCCTCATCCCTAAGGTCGAACCTCACTCCTCCTAGGGGTCTTAATACAGCAGGCGTGTTTCCTCCACTCGAGTCCCCAAAAAACATACGTCCCTCCCAGTTTTGTCTTTCGTGTCTGCTTGCCCTTAAGTCTCCGTAAGGAAGTTCAGGTCCCTTCCCTGCAGCCTCCTGTTTAACAATCGGTTGAAGACCCCGCTCCTGCGATGTCCTGGAGTGTGTTTGTGGCTCTTCCTTGCAAACCCTGGAGACCTCCTCTGTCCCTCACCGCCTCTCTCCCGCCCATCCTTGGAATCCACAGGCCGGCGAGCCTACCCGGGACGCTCACCTGCTGAGAGCCTGGCTCGCGCGCGGCTCCACGGTGGAGCCGCGGGTCCGGGCAGGCTGACTGGAGGACCGCAGGCAGCGGCGCAGGGAGCTCACCTCACGAATCTCCGGCGCCGATCGCGGAACTACGTTTACTTGGGCCGCTTAACTCTTGCGCTGCCGGCCGGGCGCGCCTGCCCGCTCGCCCGCGCGTCAGTGGGCTGGTGCCGTCCGTCGGGGGGCGCTCCGGGCGTCCACGCGGGCTGCGGCGGCCGGGCCAAGAGCACCGCGGCGGCGAGGAAACCACCGCGCAGAACAGGGCAGAGGGAGTGGGTGTGGAGGGGGCGGTACTGATTCCCCTTGTAACCCCGGCCCGGCCCTCGCCCCGCCCCCGCCCGGGGGCGCCCCCGCCGCAGCCACTCAGCGCTCGGCCGCCGGCGAGGGGGGAGCGGTGGAGGGGACGAGGGAAATTTGAAATCACTCGGGGAGCCTCCCCCTCCGCCCCTCCTCCACCGGAGCTGCCTCCAGACCCCTGGGGGCCTGGGAGGACCTCGCTAACTGGAATAAACTTCTCTTCCAGGCACTCCTAGACGTTCCCCTAGGCCAGACTTTACTCCAGTGGACCCTTGTCCCTGTCCCTCCACCACCTCCACGTACTCAGGCTGGTCTGGGTGCGTCGACCCCGACTCCCTGGAGTCACGCAGCAGCAGAGTCTCCCCTTTTACCCCTCCCCACACACACCCCAATCGCAGTGTCAGCTAGGGAGGTGCCCTGCCAGTCACCCTGCTCTGGACCCACTGGCTAACTCTCCCTCTCTTCCTCCCACTACCCTGGCCTTTGTTAGCCATCTTAAGGGGAAGGGAGGGAAGGGAAGGGAAGAAGGAGGAAGGCAGTCAGTCCCTAACTGCCTGGATTCCGAGTCCAGCTGAGGAAGAAGCTCCATTTTGGAAACAGGTCTCAGTTGCTTAGGCTCCTTCATGAGTATGGATGAGTGCGAAATAGCTTCCACGTGTTTATCTCATATTGTATTTCTTTGTTAATTTACATGCTTATGGTTTCCTATCCAGTAGTAGACTGGAAGGACATGGTGCTCAATAATTATGTGTTGAGTGACAGAACCATTGAATGATTGCCTATAGGACCTGGCCATGCCTACCTTTTCATCTCCTACCCTCTCCCTTTCTTATTTCACTCTCACCATCTGAACACACCAAGCACATTGCCACCTCAGGGCCTTTGCATACACACACACCACTTCTTCTTTGACCTGATTTCTGCATACAACTTCTTGCTCAATTTTTTCTCAAAAGGTTTTCTGAAGAGGCTTTTCTCTAACACCCCCATCTGAATAGTCTCCCCTGTCCATCACTGGGGCTCCCTTCAGTGCTCCTTTAGCTCTGTCTAGATGATAGGCTAACATGCACCCCTCCCCCATCACACCTCCTCTCCAGACATAGAATTCTCAGTGGAGCTACCCAATGGAGTGGTGTTTGTTTGATAAGTGCCATTGAGTTGCTTCCAACTCATAGTGACCCTATATAGGATTTCCAAGGAGCTGCTGGTGGGTTTGAACAACTGACATTGAACAGCACCACACCAGGACTCCACCCAAAAGACATGTTGTTAAGTGCCATGGAGTGAGTTCTGACTCCAAGGGACCCTGTATAGGGTTTCCAAGGAGTGGCTGGTGAGTTTGAACCACCCACCTTATGGTTCAAACCATCCTTGTGGTCCCGCACTTTATCCCACAGCACCACACCAAGACTCCAGACCCAATAGAATAGAAGGAGCACTTGTCATTAGGCTGTGAGGTTTGAATCTTGCCTTCACCTTTTGGTGAAGCTGATAAATCACTGAAAGCCTCATTTTTCTCTGCCATAGAGAAAGAATAATGAAAACATTGATGGTGGCTTGAGCAAAGCTCCAGCCCCTAAAGAATTATTTTTATGAAAGAGTTTGCTTTTTGTTGTTGTTATTTTAAAAATCAGTAGATAAGAGAATGCCATTCCTTGATCTTAGGAAATATACACTGAAGTTTTTAGGGGAGAAATGACAAAATGTCACCAATTTATCTCAAATGATTAAAAAAAAAACAAGAGGGAGGTTGTAAAGCAAATGGGGTCAAGTGTAAATAGTGAGTCTAGTTAAAAAAATTCCAAAGGTTCCTGTAACAGTCTTGTAACACTTTCAGAGATTTAATTAAAAGTTACAAATGTTGAATTGGAAAATGTTGTGTTGTACGTACTTTATAACATTAAAAATATAGAATAAGTTACCTTCCAAAAATTTAATGTTAAAAAAGAAAAGATACATATGTATCCTAGAAGCCCTCAAGCTGATAAACTTATGGTCTTCCACTGATCATTATTATATTAGTATTTGATTATACCATTCTTTTCAGCTCTTAAAGCAGCTACAGGTTTTTAATAGCATATGTAAAGTGCTTAACACAGTAAGTACCTGAAGCATAATGGATGCTTAATATAGGATAGGTATTTTTATGGGCAAGTGACTTCATCTCTGTGTGCCTCAATTTTCTCATCTGTAAGATGGAGCTAAAAATAGTACTTACTTCATAGTGTTATAATGAGATTTATATGAGTTAATTAACATAAAGCATTTTCAGCAATGCCTGCCACATGAAAAACACCATAAAGTGCTTGTTAAATTTCTTAATGTCCTGTTATTAATAACTAACACATGCTGGCATTTTTTCCTGGCTGCCCCAGATCTTGGCAAATGTAAAGATGAACTCTCTCCCAAGCTCTTCACCTTCAGCTAGCCCAGTCCTTTTGTCCCACCCCCTTCAGTCAGCTCCCAGCTGCTAAGCAAGTCCACTTCACCTCTAAGTCCATCACTAGGGTCCAGCTTGAAGAGCCCCATTTTATAAAGCTCAGAGAGGTAAGGAGGTCTGTCAAAGAAGCAGTTAATCAATGGCAGAGTGGAGACTAGGTTCCCAGCAACCTCCCACTCTCAGTGGTCCCTCACTCCAAGTGCCCTATGCTAAGGAGGTTGAGCCTCAGTCTTCTCCCCCATCTAATTGGAATAATAATAATAGTAATGCCTACTTCCCAGAGTGATTGTGGGGATTCGCTGAGCCCATGTTTGTGAAAGAACCCCATTGTAAAGTACTCAGTCTTAATTGTAGTGTCATTAGAGGCCACGTTCATTTGCAAAGTGGGTTTCTCACTATTCATTTTCAACTGGAACACCCAGGCTTTTTTCTGCCCCAGTTAACCCATGGAAGGAATTCTTTTCTCTTTTCTTAAACTAAAAAATGGACCATTGATACGTTTACTTTAAATGTACCTGGTTAGACAAGTACTCAGAGTCTGGTCAGGTCTTATTCATTAGTTATTATTCAATAATAACCAATAATGCTAATAGCTATCCAGAGCCTATATATGCATGACACGGGGCTCAGCGTTTTTTGTGATTTATATATTGAGTCCTCCTCGCAGCAGTCTAGGGAAGTGGGATGGACCATTTCTACATTTTACTGAAGGGGAAACTGAGGTGACAGAGGCAGAGTAATTGTCCAAGGTCAAACTGCCAGGAAATGTGGCAGGAGGTAAGACTAAATACCAATCCATGGTCTTGACTACTTTGTTACTGTAAAATGCTTAGCAAAGTATCTGTTAAGTGTTCATTAAATGCTTGTTATGGAGAGTGGTGGTAGTTATGTGCCACCGAGTGGGTTCCAACTCATAACAACCCTGTATAGGGTTTCCTAAGCTGTAAATCTTTCCCGGAGCAGAAAGCTTTTTCTTTCTTCCTCAGAACAACTGGTAGATTCAAGTTGCTGACCTTAAGGTTAGCAGCCCAGATGGTAACCCATGAAGCATAACATGTATATAGATTCATAATGCTTAAAAGAAGAGAGTCCTGCCCAGAAGGAATCATGACAGATCTGGTCTAAGAGGATTCATTCCCTCAGGACCCAGAATAAATCAACAATAGCAATGAATATTACTACATATATAATGTAAGGATTTTCTAAATGGTTTCTCATGTAATCTTCATAATAAACTTCTGAGGCAGGTGCTAATTAATATCCCCTCTTTTCAGACTATGTTGTGGGTTAATGCGCCAGACTGCAAAGCGGTTTGAACTTCAAGGTCGGCGGTTCAAGCTCACCAGCTGCTCCTTGGAATCCCTATACAGGGTCCCTAGAGGTCAGAACCAACTCAAAGGCACTTAACAACAACTTTTCAGACTAAGTGTTAAAGAACCTGAGTGACCTTTCTAAGGTCATATAGGTGTCAGACACTAAGTCACAAGTACATCTTCACCATCAATAAAGAAATCAGCATTTGGACAAGCCTCCATAGTTTAAAACAAAAGTTTCCAACACAGGGGGCAAGGATGGAAGCCAGGAAGAAGCACAGTGAGTAGGCTGGTACAGGAACCTAGTGAAGGAAGGACAATAGTTTGCACCAGGGTGGTGGTAGCAGAAAGCAGTGACAACCAGATTTTGGAGATGATTTGAAGACTGTCAGATTGGCTGATGAATCTGATGGGGGCAAGGGAGAGGACTCATGGATGACACCAAGGTGTTTATACCATCTGCCTCATTTGACATTAGATGAAGCAGGTACCCAGAGAGGGGAAAATACTTATGCAGAGTCACTCAGCAGGTTAACTGGAGAATGTGACCAGAACGCCAAGCTGCTGACTTTCTTCCCTCTATCATCTCACCCTTTCAGAGTCAAGTCCGAGCTTCTAAAAGTAAAATAAAAAAGCAAGACCCATGACACTTGACGGTTTGTCTGAGGATGGAGGTTAGAGGATTCGAATGAAGGCTTTAAAGGAACAAATATTTATTGAGTAGGGACTGTGCTGGGAGGGTAGATGGAGTCCCTATACTCAAGAAGCCCAAAGCACAAATACTTGTGTCCCAGGAAATAATAAGTTATGTTGATTGGACCTCATAGAAAGATGGAACTCATCTGGCAAAGAAGAGATGAACTTCTTTAGGCATCTGAGAGGTGGAAAATTTTGAGGGGAAACTTTTTATTGTGAACTGGGAGAAGGTTTACAGAGCAGATTATCAGTTTTATACCCAATAAAGCGCACACTTTGTTTCATTTCAATAATTGCAATCCCTTCCATGTAACAATCTTTATCCTACATCTTCCCTAAGGTTTTTATTTCCATTTCACCCTTCTTCCCACCCCTTGGAACCTTGTCCCCAGGTAAATGGTGCCCTTTGATTTTGAATGGTTAGCATACCTCACTAGTATTGTTGTCCGCCCCCCCCCCCATTCCTATCTACTATCATTGTTGTTGTTAACTGCCATGGGGTCAGTTTCAACTTCATAGCAACCCTGTATAGGATTTCCAAGAAGTAGCTGATTGGCTTGAACTGCCAACCTTGTGGTTAGCAGTCCAGGCTTATCCTACAGAGCTACATCAGAATTCCTATTCACTGCTTGGTTGAAAATTGGGCCAGCAGGGTGAGTTCTGTTCTAGACCTGAAGGGTGGCTGAGAGACATAATTTCCGTGTCTTCTAGTCTATAATTTTGAGTTTTGTTCTACA